CCTTCAAAGTCTGATTCTCTAGGAATTCCTCCTGCTGTTGCCAGACCCCCAGGTTGGGAAGCCTGATGTGGGGCTCAGAACCTTCACTCCAGTGGGTGGACTTCTGTGGTATAAGTGTTTTCTAGTTTGTGAGTCACCCACTCAGCGGTTATGGGATTTGATTTTATCGTGATTGCGCCCCTCTTACCATCTCAATGTGGCTTTTCCTTTGTCTTTAGATGTGGGGTATCTTTTTTGGTGAGTTCCAGTGTCTTCCTGTCGATGACTGTTCAGCAGTTAGTTGTGATTCCAGTGCTCTTGCAAGAAGGAGTGAGCACACATCCTTCTACTCCACCATCTTGAACCAATCTACCTGTTGAATTTAATTCAGTGAACATTTATTGACTTTTGAATTGATTTCTACAAAATATTTGCGTGTTTAATATGTATAAAGAAGTGGTTTTAGATCAATTAGCCTGACCTGAATTTATTTCACACACATGCATTAAAATATTAAATGTTCATGAAGAAATTGGAACCCTTGTGCAGTGTTGGTGGGGATGTCAAATGGTGCAGCCACTGTGAAAAACAGTATGGCAGTTCCTTAAAAAATTAAAAATAGAGTTTTCATATAGTCCAGCAATCCACTTCTGGGTATATAACCAATAGAATTGAAAGCAGGAACTCAAACAGATATTTGCACAGCCATGTTCATAGCAGACTTATTCACAGTAGCCAAAAGGTAGAAGCAACCCAAGTGTCCATCCACAGATGAATGGATAAACAAAATGAGATATATACATACAATGGATATTATTCAGCCTTAAAAAAGGAAATTCTGACACATGCTACAACATAGATGAACTTTGAAGACATTATGCTAAGTGAAATAAGCCAGTCACAAAAAGACAAATACTGTATGATTACACTTTTTTTAAAAAAATTATTTATTTATTTTTGGCTGCACTGGGTCTTTGTTGCTCCGTGCAGTCTTTCTCTAATTGCGGCGAATGGGGGCTACTCTTTGTTGCAGTGTGCAGGCTTCTCATTGTGGTGGCTTCTCTTGTTGCGGACCACAGGCTCTAAGCATGCGGGATTCAGTAGTTGTGGCACACGGGCTCAGTAGTTGTGGCCTGCGGGTTCTAGCGCACAGGCTTAGTACTTGTGGCGCATGGGCTTAGTTGCTCCATGGCATGTGGGATCTTCCCAGACCAGGGTTCGAACCCATGTCCCCTGCATTGGCAGGCGGATACTTAACCACTGCGCCACCAGTGAAGTCCCTGAATACAGTTTTGTGAGGTCCCTAGAGCAGTCAAATTCATAGAAATGAAAAGTAGAATAGTGGTTGCCAGAGCCTGGGGGAGGGAGAAACGGGAAGTTATTGTTTAATGGGTACAGAGTATCAGTTTTACAAGTTGAAAAGAGTTCTGGAGATGGATGGTGTACAACAATGTGAATGTACTTCTTTGTACACTGAACTGGACACTTAAAATTGGTTAATATGGCAAATTTCTTTATGTGTATTTTACTACAATAAAGAAAGTTAAAAAAGGTATTAGACATCTATAGCATTGTACAGGCATACCTCATTTTATTGCACTTTGCAGATATTTTGTTTTTTACAAATCAAAGGTTTGTGGCAACCCTGCATCGAGCAAGTCTATAGGTACCGTTTTCCCAAAAGCACTTCTCACTTCATGTCTCTGTGTAGCATTTTAGTAATTCTTGCAATATTTCAAACTTTTAAGATTATTATTATATTTGTTATGATAATCTGTGATCAGTGATCTTTGATGTTACTATTGCAAAAAGATTACAATTTGCTGCAGACTCAGATGATGGTTAGCATTTTTTAGCAGTAAGGTATTTTTTAATTAAAGTATGTACTTTTTTTAGACAATACTATTGCACACTTAATAGACTACAGTAGTGTAAACATAACTTTTATATGCACTGAGAGACAAAAAAGTTCATGTGACTAGCTTTATTGCAGTATTCTTTTTTTTTTTTTTTTTTTTTGCGGTACGTGGGCCTCTCACTGTTGTGGCCTCTCCCGTTGCGGAGCACAGGCTCCAGACGCGCAGGCTCAGCGGCCGTGGCTCACAGGCCCAGCCGCTTCGTGGCACATGGGATCTTCCCGGACCGGGGCACGAACTGGTGTCCCCTGCATCGGCAGGTGGACTCTCAACCCCTGCACCACCAGGGAAGCCCTGCAGTATTCATTTTATTGCAGTAGTCTGGAACCAAATTTGAAATATCTCTGAGGTATGCCTGTAATGCTAAAACCCCTCTCTTAATTGCTAGGGTTGCCAGTCATAAGAGAGCTCAGTTCCTGCCATTTCTTCCACTACTTCTATGGATGAATATTTATAGAAGTAAACTAAATAATTACAAATGATCTAAAAGTAGGAGCCTATATTAAAGTCCAGCAGAGATGCTAGTCCAGCAGATTATTTCTAAAAGAAAAGCTGGAGATTTTTTTTTAATGAGCATCTTAAGTACCACAAACTGTAAAGATTTAGAGGATCCTGGTACATTTAAGTAAGCTGTATAGTATTCCATTGCATGAATATACCACGGCTTTACCATTTTCTTGTTGGATATTTGGTTTATTTCCAATGTTTTATTGCTAAAATCAGTTCTACAGTGAATCTTCATGTATGTGTCTCCTCGTTGATGTGTACCAACATTTCTCTAGTGCATGAGGAATTGCTGGGTTTTGGATTTGTCCGTATTCAATTTTGCTAGATATTACCAAGTTGCTTTCCAAAGATATTTAACTAGTTTATTTTTCCTACCAGCAGTATATGACAGTTTTTATAGCTCCACATCCTTGTCAATACTTGGCTTGTCAAACTTTCATTTTTGCCAGTCTCATGGGGATGAAATTTTATCTTATTATTCTAATTTGCATTTCCTTAATTACTAGTGAGCTTGAACATGTTTTCAGATGTTCACTGGTTATTAGTTTCAAATTAGTTTCATTCTTTGAAATGAACTTCCACATTTGTGAATTATCTTTTAATATCTTTCCCCAAATTCCTGTTACGGTGTTTATCTTTTCTCCTTTGAGTTGTAGGAGTCTTTCGTGTCCTTTGGAAAAACTTTTGTCTGTTACATACATTACACATATCTTCCCCAGCAATCTATTAGCTTATGATTTTACTTTGTGGTGAGCGGGGGCTACTCTTTGTTGTGGTGCTCCGGCTTCTCATTGTGGTGGCTTCTCTTGTTGTGAAGCACGGGCCCTAGGCACGCAGGCTTCAGTAGCTGTGGCACGCGGGCTCAGTAGTTGTGACTCATGGGCTCTAGAGCACAGGCTCTATAGTTGTGGCACATGGGCTTAGTTGTTCTGTGGCATGTGGGATCTTCCTGGACCAGGGCTCGAACCTGTGTCTCCTGCATTGGCAGGCAGATTCTTAACCACTCTGCCACCAGGGAAGTCCCAGGTTTTCATTTTTAATAGACAAATTTAGCAATACTCTCCTTTGTGGTTTATATCTCTTCATCAAATTGAATAAACAGAGCTATTTGGTGTCAAATTTATAACTTTTACTGGGGTTTAATAATAAAAGGTTTAGATATTCTAGTTTAAGTGTAATGCATCTTGGTTGATGCTCCTTGGCCAAAGTAATTTATTTTTTTGTATGACTCATTGGTTCAAGTTATTACATAAGTATTTTTAAAACGTCGACTTACTATCTTTACTCTTTGAGTGATGATCTCTATTAAGGCACAGTTATGTAAGTGTGGAATGCATCTGATATTTATCCCTGATGTGCTTTTATCATTACAAGGAGCCCCTCCTCCCACGCAACACCCTCCTTCTATTTTCTTCCTCTCCAATTCCATCAGTGACTTTTTTTTTAACTTGAGACATTGTCCACATGTTACTAGATTCATTAACACAGTTGCAAAATTCACTGCGGGCTCTAGGAATAAGTGAATTCAGGTTTCAGACAGACAATATATTGGGAGGACCAGAAAGGTAATCATACCACATCAGGAAAAGTCTCACAGGCTCCCAGTTATGGAATTTGATAGGTTCATATTGGTACAAGAAAAAAATGACACAATATTGGACTATTTCCAGATGATGTCCTAAAGCTATGGGAAAACACTATGAAACAACAAAAAGCCAAATACAAATGCAATTTTAGGAGTGAAAATACTTAAACTTTTGCAAAGGACTTAAAAACTATAACTGAATCTGTGTATGTATTTAGAAGAGGGAATGTCAGAGGTCATTTGCATAAATAATTCTTGATGTGTGAGAGGCAAAGAAATATGTTTTGACCTTGGCATTTTGACCTCAAGGAGATTTTGACCTTGGCATGCAGCATAAACACATGCTTTCTGTCTCCTCATTTTAATCTCTCCTCTCTCTACCTCTCCCAGTGGGTTTCTGTCCTTTAAGCCTTCCCCGCTTCTCCATCTTGTCCTTTTTCCCTCCACCTGTCCCTCCCCTCTTAGCCTCCTTTACCCACTACTCCATTTTCTAAATTCACTTCCTCCCTTATCCCTTCTCTGTCTCCCTCCATCCCTCCAAATTTGATCCAAAATTTTTTGTTCAGTAGAAATAATGGTTGCAAAGGAAAACTCACATTTGGCAAATGCTTAATCAATAAAATATGATATGGGCAAAAACCAATTAATGAATCAAATTTCTATTGTTAAGACAAATTAAAAATAATATTAGGAAAATAAAGATAAAAATGGAAAAACAAAATTAGAAGCAGATAGATTGCCCTGTTTAGGAAATTGATTAAGGTATTATATCGACTTAACTTCATTCCAGAACATACTTTTTTGATGATAACTCATAAATGCTGATATAATTCCAATGAAAATCATTATATTCAAACAATCATTAAGATCATAGTAATGGGATTACAGTATCCTCCATATTAGAATGGAGGTGGGGTCATTGAGAGCAATAAATGAGAGTAATAAATGTATCTATCCAAAAAGATTGCAAAATAACCAACTTTTTCTCAATTCTTTTTTCATTCTTGGTGAAGGATGTTGAAGCAGCCTATCACATTACAGATATCCATGAAGCTTTGGCATTATCTGAGGTGGGAAATGACAGGAAGATGTTCTTGTTTGGAACCCAGGTGACTGAGAATGGCTCAGAGATACCCTCCATCATGCAAGATGCCAGAGACCTGATTGCACAGCTGGCTGCAGACATGCAGTGATCAGGCCTAGGCCCACTGTGAGGCTCATGATTTGAACGTCACCAGGGAATGTTTAGCGGCAGGCTGGAAGCCAAAAGTTTCCACTTTCCAATAAAAAATAAGGCATTTCCTATTTTCTCAATGCAGGGCATATACACATACATAAGATAATGTTAATTGATTAAGAGGATCTCTATTTATATTTTGAACTTTAAAAATATTGGTAAAACAATGTATTTAGAGGGATTTGGATTTTTTAAAAATTTTTATTTATTTTTGGCTGCGTTGGGTCTTTGTTGCTGCATGCGGGCTTTCTCTAGTTGCAGCGAGCGGGGGCTACTTTTCGTTGTGGTGCATGGGCTTCTTATTGCAGTGGCTTCTCTTGTTGCGGAGCACGGGCTCTAGGTGCACGGGCTTCAGTAGTTGTGGCACATTGGCTCAGTAGTTGTGGCTCGCAGGCTCTAGAGCGCAGGCTCAGTAGTTGTGGTGCACGGGCTTCATTGCTCCATGGCATGTGGGATCTACCCAGACCAGGGCTTGAACCCACATCCCCTGCATTGGCAGGTAGATTCTTAACCACTGTGCCACCAGGGAATTCCCGGGATTTGGATTTTTAATCAACCAAATTAAAGTGAACAGTAGGAAGCATTCATTCCATTTGTAGTTTCCCAATGAAATGAGATTTACATTAAAATATTTTAATAACTTTTCTCTTTTCAAGTAAAAATCCAGGTGTCTTTCCTTTAAGTGGATGCGTTTAATACTGTAGGGAAAGAAATATCAGGATAGGGCAATAAGAAAAGTAAGCACTATCAAACCCACATAGAAATATAAATTAACAGCATTCAGAAAGATTTAGGAAAGGCTTCTTTTTAAGAAACTATTGCACTAAAAGAAGAACACCGTGAGGATTTGTTTTTTAAATTCTTGTTATTTAGCTTTTTTATATAGATAAGCTTTCTTTACTAGAAATATTTTGTAAGAGTGATAACTCTGTTTACCTACAGACATAAATCCAACTTCAAACCTTAGTGTCCTGTCTTGATCTTTTTTTAAAAAAAAAAAAAAAGGACTTCCAGTTTTGAGCCCAGCATGTAAGAAGCTTGGAAGCCACCACTCCATTCTAACAAGTTAAAAAGCTGAACAGACTAAAAAATCAGCATTGGAGGGAGCAACAGGAGAATACAGAGATTAACAATTTACCAGAGCAGAGACTTATAGTGGGAAACTGCCCATGGGAACCCCAGGGTAGAAAAAACAGAACGGTGACTGATGAATTGCTGGTTGCTCCAAGTGGAGTAATCTGAAAGTTAAAACACTCTAGGGGAACCCAGTCATTGGAGGGGCCCCCAATTATTTGAGATTTACCTCCAGAACCTCGACCAGATTCCTATAATAAATATTGGAGAGAAATCCCCTGGTGCTTCCAAGGGAGGGGAAAAATTTTTTTGAAATATGCCAGAGCACTCTGTCCTTCTTAACAAGGCCTGCCCTCAGGGGAAACTAGTTAACCAGAGCCTAGCCTGCTGGGTTATTACCAGAGCCTAACTGACCTGGGGGAAATACCCAACTCCAGCCCACTCTAGACATTCTGTTCCACCTAAAAGGGCAGAAAACTAAGACTTAAGTTTGCAGTCCAGAGGCACTTAGTCTCTAAAAGACTAAGACCTAATCATAGGACTATAGAACGCTCCCCCTCCCCCGCTCCAACCTCACCACCACATTACTAAAGGCCTGTTTACAGCAGCTCCTTTTACCCAGTACATCATGCCTGGCTATCAAGAAAAACTACAAGACATACTAAAACACAAAACATACAGAAGAGATACCACAAGCACCATACAGAAATGAAGAATGTGTTTAGTGGGCTTGTTAAAAAGCTGGACATAGCTGAGCAATGAATCTCTGAGCTTGAGACTATCTCAATAGAAACCTCCAAAACTGAAAGTCTAAGAACAAAGACTAGAAAGATACAGAACAGAATATACAAGGACTGTGGAACAACTACAAAAGTTGCAACATGTGTGTAATGGGAAACCAGAAAGAAAGAAAAGAAAGGAACAGAATAAATATTTGAAACAATGACTAAGAATTTCTCCAAATTAATGTCAGACACCAAACCACAGATCCCAGAAGCTCAGAGAACACCAAGGAGGACAAATGCCCTCCCCCACAAAAAACAACAGCAACAACAACAAAAAACTATAGATAGGCATATCACTTTTAAGCTGCAGAAAATCAAAGTTGAAGAAAAAATCCAGAAAGAAACCAGAGGAAAAAACACCTTACCTATAGAGGATCAAAGATAAGTACATTAGGCTTCTCAGAAACCACACAAACAAGAAAAGAGTAGAGTAAAATATTCACAGTGTTGAGAAAAAAAAACCGTTAGCCTAGAATTCTGTACCCTGTGAAATCCTTCAAAAGTGAAGGAGAAAAATTTCTTAGACAAAAATTGAGGGAATTTTTTGCCAGTACTTCTTTGTTGCAAGATATGTTAAAAAGAAATTCTTTAGACAGAAGGAAAATGATATAGGTCAGATATTTGGACCTACATAAAGGAAGGAAGAACATTGGAAAAGGAATAAGTGAAGGTAAAATTAAAACTTTCATTTGTCTTATTCTTTTTTTGTTTTTGTTTTTGTTTTTTTTTTGCGGTACGCAGGCCTCTAGCTGTAGTGGCCTCTCTCCCGTTGCGGAGCACAGGCTCCGGACGCGCAGGCTCAGCGGCCATGGCTCGCGGGCCCAGCCGCTCCGCGGCATGTGGGATCTTCCCGGACCGGGGCATGAACCCGTGTCCCCTCCATTGGCAGGCGGACTCTCATCCACTGTGCCACCAGGGAAGCCCTCATTTGTCTTATTCTTAATTGATCTAACATTAGTTTCTTCAAAATAATAATAGCAACATTATATTTGACTATGTATGCTTACATGTGTGTATAAATGTTATGACAGCAATGATACAAGGGATGAGAGGGAGGAATTTGGATTATTTAGTTATTATAAGGTATTCACATTACCTGTGAAGTGGTATAGTGTTATTTGAAAGTAGACTTGGATTTGTTGTTAATGTATATTGCAAACTCTAGGGCAACCGCTAAAAAAAATAAAAGAAGTTATAACTGATATGCCAAGAAAAGAGAAAATGAAATCAAATAAAATGTTCAATTAAAACCACAAAAGGTAGAAAAAGAATGGAAGACAAAAAGAGAAACAAAGAACAAGGATAACAGATAGAAAACAGTAAAAATATGGTAGCTATTAATCCAACTAAATCAATAATCACTTTGAAGGTCAGTGGTCTAAATGCACCAATTAAAAGACAGAAATTTCAGAGTGGATTAAAAAATAAAAGATCCATAAACTCACTTCTTGCTTACAAGAAACTCACTTTGAATATAAAGAGACATATAGATTAAAATTATGTGAATGAAGAAAGATATAACACTAATCAAAAGAAAGCAGGAGTAGCTATATTAATTTCAGACACAGAAGATTTGAGAATAATGAAAGTTATCAAAGATAAAGAGGGGAATTATACCTAAAGCACAAGCAACAAAATAAAAGATAAGTGGGACTACATCAAACTAAAAAGCTTCTACACAGCAAAAGAAACCATCAACAAAATGAGAAAACAACCAATGGAATGGGACAAGTATTTGCAGACTGTATATCTGATAAGGGGTTAATATTCAAAATATATAAAGAACACATACAACTCAATAGCAGAAAAAATAAAATAAGAAACGGAAAAGGACCTGATAGACATTTTTCCTGAATAAGATCTATAAATGGCCAACATGTACATGAAAAGATACTCAACATCACTCCTCATTAGGGAAATGCCAGTTAAACAATGAAGTATCCCCCCAAGCCTATTAGAATGGCCATCGTCAAAAAGACGAGATAACAAATGCCAGCTTGGATGTAGAGAAAAGGGAATCTTTGGTACTCTTGTTGGGATTGTAAATTGGTACAGCCACTGTGGAAAACAGTATGGAGGGTCCTCAAAAAATTAAAAATAGAACTACCGTACAATCCAGCAATTCCACTTCTGAGAATATATCCAAAGGAAATGAAAACACTAACTCAAAAAGGTATCTGCACCACCATGTTCCTAGCAGCATTATTTTCAGTAGCAAAGACATAGAAACAACCTAAGTGTCCATGGATGGGCGAATGGATAAAAGAATTTGTAGTGTATATATATGTATATACATGCATACAAACATGCATACAATGGAATATTATTCAGCCATTAAAAAACAAGGAAATCCTATCATTTGCAACAACATGGGTGGACCTTGAAGGCATTATGCTAAGCAAAACAAGACAGAGAAAGACAAATACTATATGATCTCACTGATGTGTGGAATTTAAACAAACACCAAACCCAGAAAAAGGAATCAGGTTTGTGGTTATATGGATTGGGGGGAGGGGGTCGGTTAGAGGAAGGTGGTCAAAAGATACAAACTTCCAATTATAAGATAAATAAGCACCAGGGATGGAACCTACAACATGATGACTCTAGTTAACACTGCTGTATGCATTATAGGAAAGTTGTTAAGAGAGTAGATCCTAAGAATTTTCATCACAAGGAGAAAAAAAAATTTTTTTTATTGTATCAATATGAGAGGATGGATGTTAACCAAACTTATCATGGTAATCATTTCACAATACATGTAAATCACACCATCATGCTGTACACCTTAAACTTATACAGGGATGTATGTCCGTTATTTCTCAATAAAACTGGAAAAATAATTTTTTAAGAGGGGAATTACATAATAAAGAGGTCAACTCTGCAAGAAGATGTAATGATCCTACATGCAAGTGTATGCGCTTAGAAACAGACTTAAAGTAAGGGAAGCAAAAACAGCTGATCAGGGAGCCTGCCCCTTTTCTCTTTTTCACCTGCCTCCTCTCTAAGGGTAGGGGCCCCAGGTGGGCCCCCGCAACTTGGCGCGTCGTCTTGGCAACGGGAGAACGTGCAGGGAGGGGCCCAGAGGCGGGGCTTGTTACGCGCTGCCGCGTCGCGTCTAAGTTGGGCGCGCTGGGGCGGGGCGCGCGGAGTGCGGGCCGTCAGCCCATCCTCTCCCATCTTATAGAAGGCGAGCAGCCTCCGGTCGTCGCCCAGCGGGAGCTTCTGGGCCGCCAATGGAGAGCCAGGAGTTTTCGGGTTCTTCTGGGCTGTCCGATGGGCACGACATGGCAGAAATATCTACTCGCTCAGAAGCCCTCCAGAAGCCCATTGTAGTCAGGATATTTGACGTGCTCAACCAGCCTGGGGAGTCCGAGGAGCCGGGGTTAGCCGAGGAGGCCGGCGAGCAAGACCAGCCAGGCGAGTCAGAGGGGTGTGCAGAGTCCCACCAGATCCCCAAGCCCCACAAGCCCTATGAGCTCTACCAACCCAGTGAGCCCCACAGGCCCCCCAAACCCCATGCACCTTACAAGCCTCATCCACCCCGCGAGCCTCACAAGCCCCACGAAGTCGAGTTGCTTCCCAGAGCTGGCGTGATGATCTCCCCGTCTCTGCTGACCAGATCCCCGCCACGGCTTCTGCCATCTTCCCTGAGAGGTAGGTGTTGGGGGTCCCTCTGGGGGTTCTAATGGGAAGGTTTGCCTGCAAGGAACCTTTTATTTTTTTAATATAAATTTATTTATTTATTTATTTTTGGCTGCACTGGGTCTTCGCTGCTGCGCGAGCTTTCTCTAGTTGCGGCGAGCGGGGCTGCTCTTCATTGCCGTGCGCGGGCTTCTCACTGTGGTGGCTTCTCTTGTTGTGGAGCACCGGCTCTAAGCACGAGGGCTCAGTAGTTGTGTCACGCGGGGTCTAGAGTGCAGACTCAGTAGTTGTGACTCACGGGCTTAGTAGCTCCACGGCACGTGGGATCTTCCCTGACCAGGGCTTGAACCCGTGGTCCCTGCATTGGCAGGTGGATTCTTAACCACTGTGCCACCAAGGAAGTCCCCCCGCCCCCATTTTGTTTTAAAGGAGGATAACACTTGTGTCATTTACCTGCTGTTTTGCAATGCCCTGTCTTTGGACCTCAAGAAGCTCTGATGGGAAATTGAGACTGGTGATGAAACAATCTCTTCACTCTGCTCTGTCTCCACCTGGGGACTTGCTAGCTGTCCTTGATTAGTCACTGTCACTAGCTGTCCTCGATTAATCACTGTCACTTCTTTTTGAAGCCCTTCTTAAGGCTTCTCTACAGTTAGTCATTGCAGTCCTCTGGGTTGCCACTTTGAACATACCTCTATTATAGCACTTAAGATTTTGGGTTATATCACTATCTTTTTCCTCAGCTAAGGGGAGGGATCCTTGAAGGGAGGATAGTTTTCTCAGTGTTTAGCACATGGTGGTGCTCAATAAATGCTATTACATTGTTAAAGATGTAGTAACAAAACACTCATTGAACAAAAATTCAAACAGTATGTTTACTAAGTGCTTGCTGTATGTTCAGTCATCACCAAGTTCACAAGCTAACAGGGCTGATGGGACTTGGGTATAAACATCCAGCTCACTTATGGCCTCTCATTGATGACTCCACCCAGAACAATTCCTTGTCCACACTGGGCTTCCAGTTCCTTGGCTGACCACGTTTCATCTCATTTTCTCCTTGACTTGTCTTTATCAGCCTTGATTCTATGGTCTGTCATGTCAGTTGCTTACTTACAACATCTTCACCTCCCCATTGGCTCTTTGGCTGTTCACCGTACTTCTCCTGGGAGAACCTCAACCCCGGTTAAGCCCACCCATCCACCCTCTGCCTACACCTGAGCATCTGACTCTTCCTGTACAAAATCACACAATCATACTGACTGCTTTTATTTCAATTTCATAACCACAGATCTCAGCTGGTCACTTGGCACTGCCTGGCAAGCCCACTTTATTCACCTAATAAATTAGTTCTCCTAATCTGTGAGATGACTAAATGCCTTCTTTACTCTACTCCAGCCTTCACACCTTTGACCCCAAACAGCTGAAGACTTTGCCTCACACTTGAGAAAATAGAAGCGATGTCATGAACTCCCTTATTTTCTTACCATGAATCTATTGCCTTACTCTAACCTGCACCCATGGATTCTGCCTTTTCTCATATTTCAGGGAAGAACTGTGCCTCTTTTTATGAGTGGCAAAAGCCTCCACTTGTGCTTTGGATTCCACTCTTGTCTCCTGAAGACCTTTGTTCCTGCAGTTATCCCCTCTCTCTCCTAACAGCATCAGTTTCTCTCTTTCTAATGAATCAGACCCATGAGCATACACATGTACTCTAGAATCTTCTTTTTTTTTTTTAACATCTTTACTGGAGTATAATTGCTTTACAATGGTGTGTTAGTTTCTGCTTTATAACAAAGTGAATCAGTTATACATGTACATATATCCCCATAACTCTTCCCTCTTGCGTCTCCCTCCCTCCCACCCTCCCTATCCCACCCCTCTAGGTGGTCACAAAGCACCGAGCTGATCTCCCTGTGCTATGCAGCTGCTTCCCACTAGCTATCTACCTTACGTTTGGTAGTGTATATATGTCCATGGCACTCTCTCGCTTTGTCCCAGCTTACCCTTCCCCCTCCCCATATCCTCAAGTCCATTCTCTAGTAGGTCTGCGTCTTTATTCCTATCTTGCCCCTAGGTTCTTCATGACCATTTTGTTGTTGTTGTTTTTTAGATTCCATATGTATGTGTTAGCATACAGTATTTATTTTTCTTTTTCTGACTCACTTCACTCTGTATGACAGACTGTAGGTCCATCCACCTCACTACAAATAACTCAATTTTGTTTCTTTTTATGGCTGAGTAATATTCCATTGTATATATATGTGCCACATCTTCTTTATCCATTCATCTGTCGATGGACACTTAGGTTGCTTCCATGTCCTGGCTATTGAAAATAGAGCTGCAATGAACATTGTGGTACATGACTCTTTTTGGACTATGGTTTTCTCAGGGTATATGCCCAGTAGTGGGATAGCTGGGTCGTATGGTAGTTCTAGTTTTAGTTTTTTAAGGAACCTCCATACTGTTCTCCATAGTGGCTGTATCAATTTACATTCCCACCAACAGTGCAAGAGCGTTCCCTTTTCTCCACACCCTCTCCAGCATGTATTGTTTGTAGATTTTTAAATTTTTTTTTATTTTATTATTTTTTTTTATTATTTTTTGCTGTATGCGGGCCTCTCACTGATGTGGCCCCTCCCGCTGCGGAGCACAGGCTCTGGATGCGCAGGCCCAGCGACCATGGCTCACGGGCCCATCCACTCTGCGGCGTGTGGGATCCTCCCGGACCGGGGCATGAACCCGCGTCCCCTGCATTGGCAGGCGGACTCCCAACCACTGTGCCACCAGGGAAGCCCCTGTTTGTAGATTTTTTGATGATGGCCATTCTGACTGGTGTGAGATGATATCTCATTGTAGTTTTGATTTGCATTTCTCTAATGATTAGTGATGTTGAGCAGAATCTTCTATCTTGAAATAACCCTTAACCCCATGTCTTCTTCAGACCCTTCCTTCTCGCACCATCAGCCCCATTTTTCTGCAAGTCACTACAGAGCTTGTCAAAAGAGTTATCTGTACTCACTGACTCCTTTTTCCTGCTTGCCATTCTCTTCTCTACCCACCTAGTTAGGCGTCTTTCTCCTCCACTCCACTGAAACTGCTCTAGTTTACTGTCTTTCTCCCACCGCCAACCCTTTTGTCTCCTTTTTGTGTGGATATTTCAGTATAGGTGATCCATTTGTCTTCTTAGTTCTTTGACCTCTTCACTTTGAATGATGGGATCCTTCACTGCATCTTAGACACCCACTGCATTAGCCTTTGATAATGTCAATTGCTGTAGCACTTCCAAAATGTCTGTTTCAAGCACTCTAATCTCTAAGCACATCTATCTTTCCAGCTCACTTACTCCTCCTTGTACCCTCTCAATTCTTCAGCTTCAAAGGGACCTCTAATCCACTGATGCTATCAACTGTTCATTATATACCACTTACTACCTTATGTCCTTCTGTCTCTCCTTACCTTAGTCCATAGTCTACCAATGGAATCACTTCCTTGCAAGTATTAGCTCCCTTGTCTCTCCCTCTCGTCATTCTTGCTTAGTTAAATCCAATTCTTGCCTGCACTTGAAAAGATGCAAAAAAAAAAAAAAAAGATGACAAGGGAAAACAAACAACTGTGTTGACTGATCTTTAAATCCATGACCTTGAACTTCAAGTGTGCTTTCATTGCTCTCAGTGATTGTGTGGCAGTCATACTACATTTCCCTAATCAATTCATTCGCTAACATGGAACCTACCAAACTACCAGGATCTATACATATATACTCTACCTTTTGTCCTGTTAATAATAGACAAGCTGTCTTTGTTCTTACCAGAGGCCATTCTCTCAACCTGTATGTTGAATCCTATTCCACCTAATTTTAAGCTCTTTGCCCCTAAAATTAGCCCCTCTCTTTCCCACATCATTTTATTTCCCTCTCCACTGGATCATTCCCATGAGCACATGAACATGCAGCAATAACTCCTATCTTGAAGAAACCAAACCTTCCCTTAACCCCATGTACCCCTCCAGATACCACTCCTATACTCTGCTCCTTTTTAGAGGAAAATTCCTCAAAATAGTTTATGAGTTATTGTCTCCATCCTCTCTTCCCATTCTCTTGAGAACCGACTTAAGCTTTTATCCCCTCTACTTAGCTGAAGTTGCTCTTGTTGAGATCACAATGACCTCTACCTTGCCAAATTCAATGGCTAATTCTTCATCCTCATCTTACTTGTTTGACACATTCACTCCCTGTTTCTTGGAAGTCTTTCTCTACTTGACTTCTGGGATACCACTTCATTGTCATCCTACCTCATTGAATGCTCCTGACTCAGTTTCCTTTGCTAGATCATCTTTGTCTTCCCAGCCTCTAGGTTGAAGTGGGCGATGGCTCAGTTCTCTCAGATTCTTTAGAACTTTCCTTGCTCCCTGGATGATGTCATCAGTTCTGTGGCTTTAACTGCATGCTGATGACTTCCCAAATTATCTCCAGCCTCCGTTTCTTTCTTGAGCTCCAAAGGTTTGTAACCAATTGTCTCTTTAACAGCCCTGCTGGAATATCTAGTAGAAATGTAAAATTTAACATATCCATAACTGAACTCTTACTTCTGCCCCCAAACTTGCTCTTCCTCCACTGTTCCCCATTTTAGCAAATGGCACCACAATTCATTCATCCAGGTGCTCAGGTCAAAAACCTTGGAGTCATTCTTGACACCCGTTTTTCCCTTACACTTTGCCTCCAAGCCATTAGCAAACCCTAATTTTGAAATATGTCATGACAATGACCATTCTTTTTTTTTTTTTTTTTTTTTTTTGCGGTACACGGGCCTCTCACTGTTGTGGGATCTCCCATTGCGGAGCACAGGCTCCGGACGCGCAGGCTCAGCGGCCATGGCTCACGGGCCCAGCCGCTCTGCAGCATGTGGGATCTTCCCGGACCGAGGCACGAACCCACGTCCCCTGCATTGGCAGGCGGATTCCCAACCTCTGCGCCACCAGGGAAGCCCGACAATGACCATTCTTAACATCCAAGC